TATAAACTTTTTTGTGATTACAAATGTATGTAGAATCTATTGATGGAGTGGAAGTTCAAGATGTAGTAGAATGTGAAGACCAGGAAAATCCAAAAGAGACAGGAGTAACAGAAAAAATTTGTAAATGTGGAGTGCAATCTCAGGACTTAGAAAGTCCACTGGGAACAAGTGTCAGTGAGATTGTATGCAAATGTTTAGAAGGAACATATGATATGTCTACACCTCTCTCATATAAAGAGAAATTTGGAGTTCAAAATTGTGCCAATCAAGGTTAGATGAAATTTTCATGATATGTTGAATGTTAGTTTTAGTGAACTATTAGAAAAGTGGAGTACAATCTCAAGACTTAGAAAATACCCAAGGAACAAACATAAGTGAGATTGTTTCCAAATGCATAGATGGAACATGTGATCTCTCTACACCTCGCTCTCTTACCGACAATATTGGAAGCCAAGAAAATGCTAGTGAAGATAATGATTTAACTGCGATGATCTTGACAGTTGCAAACGGTTAGACAATGTTTTTTTTAATTTTATACATATTTGTTTTAATCAAAGATTAGAAATATGTACTAATTGTGTTAGCTCCTATAAATATTTTGCAGAATCTTGTGAACTTGCAATTGAAGAACATGGAGAACAGTTGCAAGATAAAGAAAATGTGCAGTTGGAAGATAAAGAAAATGCAACCAATATGTCAGCTCAATAGTCTGTTGAAAAAATACAAGAAGGCAGTGTGAACAAGACAGGTATTGATTGTGCCCTAAATATTATATTCATAATTGAAAATGCCAGTACATTTCAAAAATAATGTTCTTAGTTTTTGTCTCTTCATTTAACGACTTGCAGCAAACTAATATATATATATATATATATATATATATATATATATATATATATATATATATATATATATATATATATAGTGTTGTCTGCAGAGCAAAACAAATATGAAGATCTTAACCAATATACTAGGAAAAGAAAGAGAGATAGTATTGGTTATCATGGTCCATCATTTTCTATTCTTACTCCTACTCCTCCAAGTACACTAATGATCATTAATGAGGGTTTGTCTATGGAGTTTGAAGGAAATGTTGAAGAAGAGCTTGGTCGAGGTAAAAGGAATAAGAAGCTTAGTTGGCAGTTGAAATCTCCTTTTGAACAGGAAAGAAAAACAGGAGCATCGATGGCGCACAATGAAAATACTCCCAAGAAAACGGGCTGGATAAAATCAAAATATACTCGTACATGTATTTTTCATTATGCCAAAGATGATGCAAAATTATTGAAGAATTTCATTGTGTGGTTGGGCAAGGAGAAAAGGAAAGGTCGCAAAAAAGCGTAAGTCCCTAAATGTATTTTATTATTTGTTAATTACTTAAATTCGTGTCCTTAACTTGTAATTTTAAATTTAGGACTAAGTATATTGATATTGAAATTCCTAAAGTTAAGTGTCTTTAACTTTTGAATTTGGAAATCAATGTTAAGGACCAAGTGTCCTTAACTTTTCAACTTGGAATTCAAAGTTTAGGACCAAGTGTCCTGAAGTTCAGGACCAAGTGTCCTGAACTTTTGAACTTGCAAGTCAAATTTTAGGACCATGTGTCCTTAACTTTTGAACTTGTAAGTCTAAGTTCAGGACCAAGTGTCCTCAACTTTCGAAGTTAAAAGTCTAAGTTCAGGACCATGTGTGAACTTGAAACTTGAAGTTCAGGACCAAGTGTCTTTAACTTTTCAACTTAAAACTTGAAGTTCAGGACCAAGTGTCCTTAACATTTCAAATTGAAACTCAAACTTAAGGACCAAGTGTCCTCAACTTTTGAAGTTGGAATTATAAGTTAAGGACTCCCTGTCCTTAACTTTTATACTTGTTAGTCTAAGTTAAGGACAAAGTGTCCTGAACTTTTGAACTTGTAAGTCTAAGTTCAGGACCATGTGTCCTTACCTTTTGAACTTGAAACTCAAACTTCAGGACCAAGTTTCCTTAACTTTTCAACTTGAAACTCAAACTTCAGGACCAAGTGTCCTTAGCTTTTCAACTTTAAAGTCTAAGTTCAGGAATAACTTCTAACTTTGATATTTTCAAAATTTTCAGGGGAAAAACTGATATATATGCTGATGATAATGGTGTGAGAAAGAATCCATACAAATTATATCATCAAAATATCAGTAGCAAAATGTTCTTCCTTGAGCTTTCAGATAGAAGCTTTGTACTTGATGATAAGGTTTGATAATTCGCAAGGCATTTATTTTCTTTGTTCTTAATTTATTGTTTTTTAATTATTTTATGACTGATGGATTTGTTTTATTTTTTGCCTTTTTATGAAGCAAATTGACATTGCCCTATATTATCTGAGAAAGAAGGAATGCTACCACCCTCGCGACCATCCTTTTCGTTGCACAACTACAGATATACTTTTTGATAACTATATGGTGCTTGTGTATAAGGATTTCAATGAAGATGCTGCAGATGAGTTTTGGTGCGGTGATAATCAATTGTTTCTAACACCATATGTGTGGGGTGACAGTCGTAGATGTGGAATTGCTTAGACAGAGGTTGACAAAATCTTTTTTCCATGTCGGCTTCCTTCAGAAGATGATAATGATGTGACACATTTTCTTTTGGAGGTATTGGACGAATAACTAATCGATTGCCTTTCTTTAAGTTATTCTTTTCCCCCTTCCTAGTCTATTAATAACAAAACGGATTTTTCCAATGTGTAAAATAAAAATTCCAATGGCTTTGGCTACTCTAACCTTCCCGACCACGATTTTTTTTTTAGGTATTTCACTGCGAAATAAGAAAGAAATAAAAAATTGTATTTTCCTAGGTATCAAAAATCTAGTAAATAAAAGAAATCAAAAATTAAATAGTGGGTGGACTTGAGTGAGAAAAGGATTGATGTGTACGATTCCATATATAATGAGCCATATGAGGCAGGAATGAATCATATTAAAATGTATGCACACATGATCCCCCACTTGCTAAAGATCTCACAGTTTGAGAAACATCACAAGTCTTTTGGAAATGCATTCAACAAATTTGATATTCAGTGGCAAAGATCACCACACCAAACTGGATCGTACGTGTTGTTATTTGTTATATAATTTATATGTAATTTAGATTTATTGTTTAATTGACTCCATATCTTACATTTTTCTTAGGACTGATTGTGGTGCATTCCTAATCAAGTATGTGGAGTTGTTGATGATGGGAAAGGATGTGGAGAAATTCCAACCTGAAGACATAAAAGACATTAGAAAAGAACTTGCAGCAAATCTTTGGGCACATGGAGAGTGGAAAAGAAATTCTGGTTATGATACACCACCAGAAAATGTTGGCGACGACTATGATAGTGAAAATAAAACTTGCTGTCCAAAGGAGCTGTAGTTTAGTTGTAAAGAAAGTTAGTTGTGGTTGATTTTTTGTATAAAATTGCTGTAAAGAATCTATATGAATTCTAAAATATCTTGTAAATTCCTCAAAAGGCACTTTTATTTTGTTTGCATAGCATAATTTTTTGTCACAACTATGCAAAATTACAATTTCAGAAGTAATATGAAGGTATCATGTTATTAATTTCTTTGTTTCTGTCAAGTATTGATTTGTCCATTGAGCTTGTAAGTATTAGTTCAGGACCAAGTGTAATTGAAATTCAAATTCAAAGTTAAGGACCAAGTGTCCTTAACTTTTGAACTTGTAAGTCAGAGTTCAGGAGCATGTGTCCTTAACTTTTGAACTTGAAACTGAAACTTCAGGACCAAGTGTCCTTAACTTTTGAACTTGAAACTCAAACTTCAGGACCAAGAGTCCTTCACTTTTGAACTTGAAAGTCTAAGTTCAAGACCATGTGTCCTCTACATTTGAAATTGAATCCTTAACTTTTGAACTTGGAACTCAAACTTCAGGACCAAGTGTCCTTATTTTTTGTACTTGGAACTGTAAGTTAAGGACCAAGTGTCCTTAACTTTTCAACTTGTAAGCCAAAGTTAAGGACTGCCTGTCCTTAACTTTTGAACTTGAAACTGAAAGTTAAGGACAGACAGTCCTTAACTTTTGAACTTTGAACTCAAAGTTAAGGACTCCTGTCCTTAACTTTTGAACTTGAAACTCAAAGTTAAGGACAGACAGTCCTTAACTTTTGAACTTTGAACTCAAAGTTAAGGACTGCCTGTCCTTAACTTTTGAACCTGTAAGTCAAACTTAAGGACTGCCTGTCCTTAACTTTTGAACCTGTAAGTCAAACTTAAGGACTGTCTGTCCTTAACTTTTGAACTTTGAACTCAAAGTTAAGGACTGTCTGTCTTTAACTTTTGAACTTGTAAGTCAAAGTTAAGAACTGTCTGTCCTTAACTTTTGAACTTTGAACTCAAAGTTAAGGACTGCCCGTTCTTAACTTTTGAACCTGTAAGTCAAACTTAAGGACTGTCTGTCCTTAACTTTTGAACTTTGAACTCTAAAGAAACAAAAAGAACGTAAGCAGAAAGAAATTTTGAAAATTCAGACATCTGCTCAAATAAGAATAATCTAAATGAATCCAATTTATAGCAAAAACTTAAAAGAGTCGATAAACATAAGTGGATATATCTACTATTCTCTATGCTTTCTTGAAAATGGATGGACTGCTGGAGAATATATACAAGTTGTTCTATTATGACCAATTCTTCTGCAACGACCACATTTAAATGTTATTTTTGATGACTCGGTAGCTGGAATATGCCTTTTCTTCTGCCTTCTACCCGGTGGCACTTTGAAATCTGGAGGTTTAACAATTTGTGACTTAACACTCTCTGGTACAATCCAAGAATCAGTATGTCCTACATGATGTATTTGTCTTTTATATGTTTTCAGCCAAGATTCCTTTAAGTACCAGTGCGAGCAAAAGTTGGACTTCTTGATGTTTCTCTTCTCGATAGCTGTAATTGCATGTATGCATGGTAATTTATCAAATGTAAACTGAAAACAATCACATGTTTTTTTGTTTAAGTCCACCAAGAAAGTTATTCCTTCTTCTTCAACTCTAGAACGCCATCAACAGGGAAGACCTTCAATGTTGTAAAATTATAAGTTAGTACATTATGTTAAATTATATTAAAATAATAACCTAAACATAGAACATAATACTTACATTCAAAGTAAATGCTAAATCTATCTTTTTCTTCAATTCCTCCTCTACCCAACAAGAAACATCATAAAAAGTTCCTTCTGCTTCATTTCTTCTTTCATAAAACCAACGTTGTAGCTTCACTTGAATGAAATCCATCATTCTTAATATAGGCAGCTCCCTTGCTTCTAATAGGACAGACTTCATTGACTCAACTATGTTTGTTGTGAGCATGTCATATCTTCGTCGTGGACTACAAGAACGTGCCCACCTTTCCGGTGGTTCTTCCATCAAGTAGTCATAAGTCTTCTTATCTACTTTTGCTATATCTGACATGTAAAGATCAAATTCTCTGCGCCTGTATACTCTTGCAGCAGTTTGAAAAAGTTTTATGACCTCACTTTTCACTTTCCTTCGCTTTAGGTTATGCTCCAAATGATAGATACAAATCCCATAGTGGCTTTCAGGATATACCTTTGCGATGGCATATGCAATAGCTTGATGCCTGTCTGATAAAAATTAAATTCTCACGGCTCCCAATTGCATTACGAAGCTCACTAAAGTACCACTCATAGGAATTGTTATTTTCAGATTCTGCTATTCCAAAGGCTACTGGGAAAATTTGGTTATTTGCATCCTTTGAAACTGAAATCATCAAAACACCACGAAATTTTGACTTTAAAAAAGTTGCATCAACAGCAATCACTGGCCTACAGTGATTCCAACCAGATATTGATGATCCATATGCATAAAACATATAAAGAAATCTGAAAATACAGTATAAAACAAAGTTAAAAGAAGTTAAGGACATACAGTCCTTAACTTAGACTAGCAAGGTCAAAAGTTAAGGACAGGTAGTCCTGAACTTCAGGTAACAAGGCCAAAAGTTAAGGACAAGTAGTCCTGAAGTTAGACTAACAAGGTCAAAAGTTAAGGACATGCAGCCCTTAACTTAGAGTTATAAGTTATAAAGTTAAGGACATGCAATCCTTAACTTTGAGTTACAAGTTATAAAGTTAAGGACATGCAGTCCTTAACTTTGAGTTCAAAGTTCAAAAGTTAAGGACATGGAGTCCTTAACTTAGACTAATAAGGTCAAAAGTTAAGGTCACCATGTCCTTAATTTTATAACTTGCAATTCTAAGTTAAGGACCAAGTGTCCTTAACTTTTTGACTACACACATGAAAGTTAAGGACAAGACGTCCTTAACTTTTTAACTGGTTAAACACAGCATGTCCTAAAGTTTATAAAACAGACTAATAAATTCTTTTTTGATTGTTTACCTGTTGTTGTCGTCTATCTTTATGTTAATATATGTTCCCGGGTTTTTACTTCTCATCATATACAAGTATGAAGACAATAATTCATAATTCTCTTCAGGAGTTCCTCTTATTAAAGCAGAAGCACATTGAATAGCACGCCACGCCTTGTGATACCCAATGCCTAGTCCATGCAATTTTTGCATTTCTGCCATGACAAAAGCTGGTGTAACTTCAAACCTTGGGTCTCGAAGATTGTCGATAATGTAACCACTAATCAACTTTGAAGTTGCATGCCTTTGATCAGCTTTCACAGTGTTAACAGAGCAGTCATGATTTTTCTCAATCTTTACTATCTTGAACAGTGTTGAATCTTTAATTCTGAAAGCACGCACACAACACCGACACCTATCATCATTGCATTTCAACAAATATCTTGTTGAGCTTGATCTAACAACCTTGAATTCAAAATGTCCTTTAATTGCTATATTCGAAAAACAGTTAATTATACTCTTCTTTTTGTTAAATATTGATCCCACTTTTATTTCATCCAACAAAGCTTTCTCTTAATATCGTAGTTGGGGATTCATTTTTTTTTTCAAATTTGACCTTCGTCTAGTTAGTTGAGTAGAGGTTTTTTCAGCAACTTCTTCGATTACCGGTGCACTCTCTAAGACTTGAATACCCAAAGCTTGTTCGTTGTCAATCTCTATAATGCTTTGTCCTTCTACTTGAATAGAATCAGATATTTGAAGCGCCTCTTCAGTTATTGGTTGAGCTTCAACCAAATCTATTTCCATTATCTGTTGGCATTTGTTTTGATTGTCATGTTGAGTTTCTCTGTTGACATGTTCAAAGACACTTGTTGATCCACAAACTCTTTCCGAAATATCAACAATGAAATGACAGCCCTTGAAGAGTGAATGACTTTTTAGTAACTCAATACATGTGTGAAGATCTAAATCTTCGGATACAAGCATTCCCTTGCTTGTTCCAAGGTTGATATCAAACCATATCACTGCTTCAAACTTGTCTCTATCTAATTCAATAACTTCAAAGATCTGTTTAATGAAATCTTGAAAATGAATTGCCTTAGGTACTAGAACAAGCTTTGTTTGATGATCAAGATACTTATAGTCTTCAGTCCATCTACCATTAAAAGCAACTATAATGCATATTGTTTCCATCCTGCAAGTCAAGAGAATGGGAAACTCAGGACATATTTTATAGAGCAATCCTTGTATAATTAAGAATAGGTACTGTAAATTCAAGACCAAGTTAAGGACCAAGTGTCCTTAACTTTTGAACTTGGAATTCAAAGTTAAGGACCAACTGTCCTTAACTTTTTAACTTGGAAATCAAAGTTAAGGACCATGTGTCCTTAAGTTTTGAACTTCTAATTCAAAGTTGAGGACCAGGTGTCCTTAACTTTTGAACTTGTAATTCAAAGTTAAGGACCAGGTGTCCTCAACTTTTGAACTTGGAAATCAAACTGCAGGACCAAGTGTCCTTAACTTTTGAACTTGAAACTTGAAGTTAAGGACTGCCTGTCCTTAACTTTTGAACATGTAAGTTAAAGTTCAGGACCAAGTGTCCTTAACTTTTCAACTTCAAACTTGAAGTTAAGGACTGCATGTCCTTAACTTTTGAACATGTAAGTCAAAGTTATGGACCAAGTGTCCTTAACTTTTCAACTTGAAAGTCAAACTTCCGGACCAAGTGTCTTTAACTTTTCAACTTGAAACTTGAAGTTAAGGATTGCCTGTCCTTAACTTTTGAACATGTAAGTCAAAGTTCGGGACCGAGTGTCCTTAACTTTTCAACTTCAAACTCAAACTTCAGGACCAAGTGTCCTTAACTTTTCAACTTGAAACTTGAAGTTAATGATTGCCTGTACTTAACTTTTGAACATATAAGTCAAAGTTCAGGACCAAGTGTCCTTAACTTTTTAACTTCAAACTCAAACTTCAGGACCAAATGTCCTTAACTTTTTCAAAACAATTTGAAAAACTATGACAGTATGTGCTTAATATTCAGAAGAAAAGCAAAAAAGTTAAGGACATTGTGTCCATAACTTTTTCAATTCAATTTGCAAAATAAGGACACTATGTCCTTAATATTAGTAACAACGATCATGACACCAAATCCTTAACATTATGTGCTTAATTTTTATAGAATTATCAAAGGACGCGATGTCCTTAACCTTATCAATCCAGAAATTCAAAAAAAAAAAAAAAATTCCTAGCATCAAATTCGTAGTAACGAAATAAAAATCAATAGAAACACACAAAAGCATAACTTACTGTAAATTTATGTCAATTTTTGGACGAAAAAGTTGAATTCTACAGTTTCAAATCGGAAGAGAAGCTTCTGCAATTCTATAGCGATCACAGTCTCAAATCGGAAGAAAAGCTGCTGCTGAAGTTAGTTACTGCTGCTGCGTGATCGTTAATAAAAGTGTAGGTATAAGTTATAGCAGAAGGGTATTTTCGTCCAGTCAGGTAAAAGTTAATTAAACCAGTGGCTAAAGACTAAAGACAATTAAAATACTGGCTTTAAAGTAAAAAAAGGTGATGTTAGTGGCTATTTGTGCATATCGCCCTTAAATTTGATATGGTATGACATCCTACCCATATAATTAGCAGAAAAATGCCATAGTTATAAATATTGACACTAAATAGCCAATAAATATATATCACAACAATAATGTGTATATCATAACTTTTTTTCTTCTTTATGTATATTAAATTTTTTTTTTACTTCTTAGTATATCCAAAATATGAAATTATATTATAGTTATTTAAAATTTATTGTTGCCTCTATATCAATGTATATCACGATAAAAATAATTGTATTATTTATGTATCGCAGTGTATAACACATCGAATATACGTATACCAAAATGTATGTCCTAAATTTTTTTTCTTCAATATGTATATCAAAATGTACATCAAATTTTCTTTCTCTGTATGTCAAAATTTTATTTACTCCCATAATTAATTTATTTTATTTTATTCCTTCTTTGATCAATAACAAAATTAAAGTAAGTATATTCAGAATGAATTTCGCCCTCTTAAAATTAATTGGACGATTTGATTCAAATCTAATATTATATTGCCAAACCCAACAATGTATATTACGATATACAATATAGGTATACACATGGATATACATGATGATATACATAGATGTACACCACCTCAAATACATATATCTTCTTTTTTACTATAAAAAAGAATAGAGAAGAAGAAGAAAATCGAAATCCCCAAAGAAACACGAAACAAATCAAACTCTACGATTGCTAATTGACGTTGTCGTCATTATCATAACAATCTGCCAAAGAAAATAGAAATATGTCATTGCTAACTGCCGTTGCCATCAACATCATAGCCACTTTTAGGGCTTTCTCTTATTTGTATAGACGAGAATATGAAGGGGAGAGAGGGGAGAGGGAGAGTAAATGGAAAAATGTATTCAACCATTACAACTTCCCAAACATTAGCAAAGAACACATGCCCTTCCAAATCTAGATTGTAGAGAAAATTTTGCTAGATAGAAGAAGAAGAAGAAGAAGAAGAAGAAGAAGAAGAAGAAGAAGAGGAGGAGGAGGCGATTGAAGAAGAAAATTGGAGAAGAAATATGGGGTGAGAGAAGAAAAAAAATGGGGAGAGGGAATAAATAAAAAATTAGGGCTATTTAGGATTTGGCTATATAATGCCAATTTCTTTGGGTTACCTTTGCCAAACCTAATATAAGGCTAAAATATTGCCAATTCTCTTTATGTATTGTCATACTATGCCATTTTTTTCTAAAAGATAGCCAGATTTATAAGTGATATTGAAAAATAGCTACAATTTCAAAAGTAATCGAAATTTAGCTACTTTTCATGTAAAGATAAATCTGAACGAAAACACTGTTTAAAATTCGAAAAATATTCCAGCATAATATACTGGAGTTCCATCATAATAAACTGGAGTCCTAGCAAAATATACTGGACTTACAACGTAATATATTGGAGTTCCAACATAATATATTGGTCCAACATAATATGTTGGAAGTTCATACACATGTGCCCCCAATCTCCAGTATATTATGCTGGAACTTTCCGTGTGTTGGTGTTTCATCATAGTATGCTGGAAGATCATATACAGGTGCACTAATCTCCACTATATTATGCTGGAACTTTTCGTGTTACAGCAAAATAGTGGATATTTTTTCATGACTTTACAAACGCTGACTATTTTTTATTTGCTAGTCCGAAAACCGATTTGCCTGTGCTATTTCACGATATTTAGGTGCGGCAAAAAATGTGGTATTTTTTCGTTCCTATACATTAAATTTATTTATCAAAATTATCCTAAATTTGTATATTAACTGACATAACTGTGTTTTCCTTACAATATACAATTCATTATTAGTGTCTTAAATTAGAGGATTCAGTTACACCCTTTTTCTTTTTTCTCTTATCTCATCTTTCCCTATTCTGTGTCGCCTCTCTCCATATACAATCCATTATTAGTGCTTTAAATTAAGGGGTGCAGTTACCCTTTTTTTCTCTCCTCTTCTCTTTTCCTATTTGTCGCGCCCCCTTTTTTCCCTCATCGCGGGGAGAAGTCCGGGTTTCGACATTCATGGGGAAATAACTCATTTCCTTTTGGGATTTGGATATTTTGAAGGGTCGCCACCTAACGAATTATGGTGCGTTAGGGCACTTAGAGTGATTAACTCTTAGACTGGTTTGCATTTCCAGAGATTTAGGGTAAGGGCTCGAAATAACCTTGAGGGGAAGGTGTTAGGCACCCCTCTTGGTCCACAACGGTGGGTCCCGCCGAACTTATACTTATGAATTAGTCCTTTTAATAAATAAATGGTTTAAACACATAATTACAAATAAGGGCATGCTTTGGACATTGTATGACTCAAGTAAAGAGACAAAGGAAAGACTTGAACAAATTGCATTTATAGGGAAAAAGCAAAGTTCAAACATTGGGAATTGGGAAAGAGGGGTCCTAGGTTGGTTAGCCTACAGGATCACCCCACACAATTCCCGGTAAACACTCCTCAATGAGGGGCTACACGTGACATTAGCGCGTAGTCATCATATCCCTACTACCCAATTTCCTCCCCTTGGTCATAGCCTAAAGCGCTCTAGAAACCTTGCAAATATCCTATGCGTGCACTACCCATCCTTTCCTCATGGCCCTGGAGGTATTTTAGGGCCTCTATTTTGGACAGTTCTAGACCTTCCTAAGGTTTTAATGGATAAAAGTCTAGGATTTAATCAAGAACAATTAGGACTGCATTTAAATAGAAGAAATTACAGCCTCACAGTTACCTCCACAAATATAACAAGTAAATGCACGTCTTCAAACAACAGTCAGGTATTTAAGAGAAAATCCTAGAACATGATATCTAGGCGAGCAGGGATTATACAGTATTGAATTAGGACGAAGTGTAAGAATCCTATTTAGCTTGCCTACTGATTTAGACCTATTAAATCTGAACAGTTTTAAATAACAAAGCACAGTTTCATAGTTGGAGAATTTAAATCGCCCTAGAGGCTTGCCTAAGCGCATAACGGTGGCGTCCTAAGAGCATGACATCTACATTGATTAGGAATGCAGCAAAACAGTGAACAGTTTTAAAACGAACAACTTGAGATCCTATAGACATGTTTTCTAGCAGTATTAATTAAGGTAGTGCTTGAAAACTCAATTACAGAAGTGGACATTTGACTAAACCAATTCAGAATGAACTAACATGAACTAAACTGATTTGTTTAACTAAATTGATTTTAAGT